GGCAGCATGTTAAAAAGCATGATTACTTTCAAACATGAGGTTGTGCATTTTCCAAAATTGTGGAGTTTCACCTACAATGAATTTACTCAGGTACAACATTTGACGCTGACAGTTAAACTGCATTCAGAGGTTAATTGTCATGTGATAGTTCCCCTGTGTTCATCTCTTATTGTCAAACTGAGAGTCTACCTACTGTCAGTGATTACACTTCAGGTGACTGTTGAAGCTCAATTTATCCCAGTTGTCCAATTTCCTAATAGTGATCTAACTCCATCTGAATCTTCAACTTGTCTTAGCACTTTCACTTCAACTGTTACTTCATTCACATCTTACAGTTAGATCAAAAGACTCAAAAATCTTTTAGTTCTCCCACTATTCTATTATGCTATAAATGTTACAACCTTTTTCAAATTTTCAAGCACAGTCATGCTTAAAATTTCTTTCAGTCCTTTCTAGCTTTAGGAGAAGTGTTTCTTGCTTTTGCTTCATTCCAGTGATTATAACAAAAATTCTATACAATATCCAACTGTTTATATACTGATCTTAATGATAACTGAATTCTTTTTGATGAATGCGTGTCACTGTCTTAGTAAGTGTCTGCACATAAATTAAACGCCACATTTAGCTGTAGTGTGCATATTTTCTCCATGGGTGATGGTGATAGTAATCAGAATAGCTTTGGGCATGACAAGCACCTCAGGCTGACTTTAAAAATGATTTATAATGACAAAAGTGAGATAGCAAATTAGATTTTTGTAACACACAAATCTTACTTGGGTGGAACAAACATCTGACAGCAATTATCTGTGAAGGTGCTGGTCCCTGTCATGGTAGCATCAAATATTTAATATGAAGGGGACCATACAGTTAATAAAGATTATTAGGTTAATTATTTTGCATTTTGCACCACCTTTTGTAACTCTTTTGTACCTCTATATAATTCCACTGTCCTGCTTTAATTGAATCTGAGCAGGAGCCAGCAGTGGATAATTTGTTTTCGTGTTGCCACATGGTTCTAGTGTTGCCAGCCTGAGAGGAAATGACATATGGTAGAAAAGCATAATTCATCTGGCTGAGATGCTGATACCCAACCATCAGAAAGGAAATTAATCCCACTCCCTGGCTGCATAGCCAAACAACATTAAAAACAGGAATAAATAATAAAACCAACTTAAATACACACACCACACTCATGTTGTATTGAAAACCAAACATCCAATAACCAAGCTGAATTGGGAGCGCAGTGGGGCTTGCTTATCTGATAGGCTAGTATGTGCTGTGTGGGAAACTGTGGGTTTTTTTATGTGTCTGTATGTGCAAGAGGGAATGAGATTTGACTGAGTGGGCATATCAGTGTGTGTAGTGTGCGAAGGCATTGCTTCGTTATGCATGCAACTATCAAACAGGAACATGACAAAAAATGGTTTGCATATGCATCAGTGTGTGTATAATTACAAAGATTTGTTGACGACTACGGATTGTTGACCATCTCTAAGCAAGCACTGGAGAGCATTCAAATGAGGATTATCTCCTCCGGCACAGCACAGCAGAGTTTAGCACTGTATGTCATTGATTAAGCCTGCGTTTACTACATGCCAACACACATCCCACTTGCACAGTGTTTTCTTCTGGCTCAGAACAAGTGTAAAAAGCACTCTCATGTAGAAGAGACAAACACACACATACACAGTAACTGAATATGTAAATAAATGTTTTATTCAGTATAACAAATGTAATTAATTTATGTTGAAACTATTATGGATAGTTTCATAGTATTATAAACATAAACATATTAGTTAATAGTTATCTTGTTTTGCAAGAGTTGGAGGTTAAAAAACATTAGTAAGGTACATGTGACTTATTCTATATTATATCCAGGGACTAATAATTCCCAGACTTTGAGTGCAGGGGTAATTTGACCTTAAAAGCACATAATGAAAAAGGATGGAACAAGAAGTCGTGTCTCAGATACATCTGTATTTAATAAAGGAAAAAGCACTTTAGCTAAAGGTAGGCTCTTGCATTTTTAATGCTAGTTGCAGTAGTCAATTTTAAAAAGCATATCAAGATACAAAGTGAATTTTTTTTTCACATGGTGAAACTGGTCCACTGACCTAGAACACTCACTAAAATGAGAAGTCCCAGGAAAATATACTGCAATTAAATAGAACAAAAGCATAAAATAACAGTGTAAATGCACCACCGAAGCACTAAAATATCAGTTCATGTAAACTTTCTCTCAGGATAAAATTTAACCAGTAGAATCCAAAGCAGTCTGATTTCCTCCAACTGTATCCAATTAAATGTAACTTACTTTAGACTATACATCCTAGCACTCCCTGTCAGCAGTGAATAAGAGGTGACATGTAAGACAGATTAATAAATGGGAGAACGGCTCAAATTAAACACTAGTCTTCTCACTTAAACAGAACAGACCATCTTAGGGTATAGATGGATGGAATGACGACTATGGTTTTGACATATTTCAATGTGGACATTTATAGTAAATAAAGGAAAATTTGACATTTGCAGACCAAAATGACATAACAGCAGAGCTTTATTTATGTATTCTCATCGCCAGTAGTATTGATTTTCATGCTTATTCTGACCTCTCCTTTCCACTCTGGAGAGCTGAATGTGAACAGGTGAATGCTTTGTGTGCTTACTGCACAACCAAGTGTGTAGCGAGTTGTAAGTTCACAAATTTGTTATTTATTCATCTCTTTTTTAATTTAGTTAGACAAAAATGACCTTCTTCATAACAGACATTTTGGCATGTTGTAACAGGAAAAGCACAGGTATAATTAATAGCATCAATTATGGCTGTGTTCCATTTCCACGTGCCTGCACCAAGGCTGTGGTATTGTGCATGCTGTCTCACTGACATGACTTACTGGGACGCTTTAATGTAACACAGCCATCATTAATATTATTAATTACACTTGTGCCTTCCCTGCTATGCCACTTTAAAATATCTGCAGCCAAGGGTGTTGTATGAACATTTTAGGTGAATCATCACTTGAAACTTTTGTTATGAGCTATTCATGCTATCTGAAGTTTACACACATTGGCAAATGGCTGCATAAAGTAACAATACAAAAATATATCCTGTTTAATTTCACTATAATTTCCAGTAAGAAATCAACTTCCTGTTTCTTGGCTGTGTTTGTGAAAATCTGTTCCTTCAACACCATGCTAATATTTTTTACTGCACAGTTTTATTTACAGGGTGTTATTTTGGTTTCTTTTTACACAGACCATTCAACTGCTTTACCACTTTAATACACAATAAACTATTTTTACTTGTGTTTTTTTTCCAACACAAACAGTATGGCTACCCATAAACCTGATCAGACCGTCTTACAGCAGGTGGTACTGTAAAGTGCCACTGCTGTGAAGTACTTTTTGCTCAAAAATAATATCTCTGATATGGATTTCAGCAGCCACTTAAAAGCAACACTTAGACAACCTGGGCTTGTTTCTGACTCAGACCCTGAGAAGAAAACTGAGAAATGTGTTGGGAGAACTGTACTATGTCCAGACTCCAAATACATTAAAGCACTTGCAGTTAAATGCTGAAGTGCAGGGCTGCGTCAAGTAGGGATATGTAAGTGACATGGGTATAAATCTTGTCTTGTGCTCATAAAAAGGGGCTAATGAAAACTTTACTTTGGTACCACATGTTATCTATACTGCAAGTATTTTTGTTTGGCTAAACGTAATGATCTATAAATATCAAGATGGACAGATCAGAAAACAATCATTACTCATGGAACTGACTCAGGATGCAAAATGAATTTCAATGTAAAAGCGGACAATACGATTCAAGACTTTTTTATTGTCAATTCACTATATGTGCAGGACATACAGAAAAATCAAAATAAAGTTGCATTGTAGCGTACTGAATTGTATTTGCATCCATTTTGGAAAAAATAATTAAAATACATGCACAGCATTATTTTGAAAGTTCAAAAAGCAATGGCAATCCTACTAGGTCAGGGAACAAACCCTTTACAGTTTTCAAAATAAATAAAAATGAATCAGCCAGCTGTAGTGTGCTTTCCCCAGTCTTTTATCACTCTGCAATAGCACAACTCTACAGTGCCGTGGACCCAACTTTGATCTGTTTCACCACATTTTACAAATGGATTTTTTTTCCACTTGTGCAGTAGTGTTTACCCTCTTGCCACATAGACTTTACATTGTGATGATGTCACAAAAATAAATCCCAGTGTTCTAATCTTTGAGAATGCTTTACGCATATAAAACCATAGATTAAACATTGATAATAAAAAGAGCTAGAGCCAAACATGTTTGCATTTGGAGCTGATCTGTCAAGAGTTATGTCCTCTTCTATCAGTGTGGGTTATGTAGAAAATGTAGGCATCAGTAAAACTGTTAATTGCAGTACTGTTAGGAGCCACTAGTTAAAACTGGGAACAGATGCTGAATGGACAGTGAATTTAACTTTTGCATCAGTCTGAGATGTCCCTGAGAGCACACACAGACACACACAAATGTGTGGTATGTAGTTACAAGTAACATCTGGCCAGTACATTAGCTGTTTTAGCTGAATAAACATGGACTGCAAAAACATTTCAGTGTTCAAAGGTGAATAAAGTGAGATGGAAAATTTATAGAAGAACAAGCAAAAGAAACATGATGAAAATGAAATGATGGCAGGTCTCACAAAAAAGGCAAGTTCTCTTTTTTATTACCATTGGCGATGCAAAGTGAAAATGGAATGAAATGTCAAGTTATATTTGGCTAGTGAAAATGTAACAGTCATAATGTTTAACTGTTTGACAGGAGATAATCAATCCTTTGCATGAGCTTTTAAAAAGTCGGCTGTCAACAAAGTAGGGCAACAACATTTTAAAGTTGATAATCAAATGTACCTATATAAATTACTCGAATTGTAATGAATTATCACATGCCAACATGTCACATGGACTTAAATGCTGTGTTTTCATGGGAGTGGCTTGTGTGTTTGGGGAGGGGCTGGCGTGTTCACACATTTTGCCTTGTTCATCAGTACGAGAGCCAGAGCCGAAGGCTGAGCCGGGATAGTCGGTGTAGCCTACTACTTCATACGCACTAATTACACCATCGAGTGTAGTTTTCGCTTGTTTTACAAGCCTTCCAACGTTATATTCAGCAGGTGAGCTTGTACGACCAGCTAGCTCCTTCTTACTCCAACTACTTCACCAACTACTTTCCTGAGTTGGAGAAATTAACTTCTAAGAGAGACGGTGGAGGATACGGACACATTTCTATGTGCGCCTACTGCTTTGATGCGCGGACTTACTTCAGGGTTATTATATTACCACTTTATTACAGTTTTCATTTTCATTTTTCCTGCATGTGAAAGGGGAGGAAAAGGAGGTGGACCCACGCACAGTCGCCGGTCTCGTGGCTTCTTTGTATACAGCCGCAGCTGTGTGTAAATGTATGGGCACTGAGCGTCTACTGCTCCTTGAGAGACAGCTCACTGGGCTCAGTCCAACCTTCATGCGGGCTTTCTTAGAAATGAAGCGGCTGAACCAGGTGTATTAGGGGAACATCAGAACTTTAGCCTAACCTTTTCTGCCCATCGCAGTATCTCGTTTACCCCCCCACCCCCAACAAATCCTGGGTCAGTTTCACCGCCTTTCTTCCTCTGTCTGTCTCTGAGCGCTTGGATTGTAAACGGCAGAAACAAACAGAGCTCCGTGCAGAGTAGGCTACAGCTGCGCGGCTCCCTCATACACCATGGATGTAAGATTTTATCCGACTGCTGGAGGAAATTCTATTCCAGGAGATCCACCAAACTTGGATTTTGCCCACTGTCTGGGCTACTACAACTTTAATAAGGTGAGAAACCCCTGTGTTTTGTGACGAGTGGCCTCGCAGGTGCTGAAAGCATGCTCAGTAATTCGGGAGTGATCTTTTAGGAGAGATTTTTATGTTCATTTAAAACTAGTGACTTGCTCATTTTCATACCTGCCTCCACTTACTGCCCTTTGACCTCACCCACAATTAGCTTGTCCGAAGTTTATTAAAGAGCACTTCGCATCTTGCCACAAACTTTGTTGTGTATTAATTGAAATGGGAGCACAAGACCAGCACAGTGACTCGTTGTTACTTTGTGTCCAGCTCAGATCAGCCTCACTGCACTGATGTTGGCTGTATAGCTTTACATGCCTGGATCACTACATGGGCGTCCTCATACACGGCACAAGCACTAGAATGTGATGAAAGTAAGATGCTGTGTATTGTGTCAAACTGCTCGGCTGTGATCCCTGTCAACAAGATGCAGTCAGGATGTTATAGAAACACTTTACATGGTGTTGAACACTATGTAGGCTACTGTAAGTGGTTCAGCACATCAGATTACTTTTGCTAATGCTTAAAATGAACTCTCTGATGACCTAACTTCACCCCCACAGCCCTATGTTGACAGAGAAATAAACAACACACTTTATCTGTTCACGATGAATGCATTCATTGTCACCAGTGTTCGGTGTGAACCCTCATACTAATAGAAACAGCCACGTAATGTACAACACAGTTTTATCTACTCACACATATTGCACAGCCTATTATTGGTATTTAACATAATTTCCAAGTTGCTTTGTTTACATCACTAAATCTATAAAAAGAGTACTGTTTCTGAATGATTAATAATAACATTGCTGAGGTATGACAAGTTTAACTGTTAAATGTGAGACTGATTGTTCATGATATTTTGTCAGTGCATGATCCAGCCAGCAAGGGGAAACATTATGACAGACAAGAATCACATAACTTCAGTGTTCCGTTTTTATAAAGTCTAAACAATGGTTCCCCCTTCACCCCCACCCCTTCTCTCTCATGCACATTCACACACACACACATCCTAGTTTTTGTGACTTACGAGTACCTACATAGACTTGCACTCATTTCCGGGAGACGTAGCCAAATCTTGGCCGTAACCACTGCCCTACTCTAATGTTAACCAAAGTTGACACTTGCTCTAACTTTGTACTGCATTGTTTTTGTAAAATTCTACAAACTACATTGTGGGGACCAGTCTTCAGTCCCCACAAGCGACGCCGGCCCCTGCTAAGCTAGTTTGGTCCAGTTTTCTGTCCCCACAAGAAAAAAACTCAAAAAAGGCCACACACACTTGTTTGTTTTCATTCCTTATGAGGACTTTATATTAACTTGCTTTAATTTCTTGGAGACTTAACCATAACTGCTACTTGCTACCCTAACCCTAACCGTAAACCAAGTCATTGCCCTAAAATTCAGTGATTTACATGTAGGAGATCAGTATCTGGGTTCCACAAGCAAGTCTGAGTGCCCACAATGTGAGTGTGTAAACATGTTTTGGTCTCTACAATGTGAATAATAGCACAGCCCCCTCCTATGACTCAGTCCTACAGTGTGGCTCTGTTTGCCCTCGTACTCTGATGCTGCCTAAAACAGTTACAAGGTTTGTTTCACTGTTTCATCAGGTCTTTGTCATGTGGCCAAGTTGTCATATGTGTCCAGTTTCATCATGTCTTCATCAGCCTTGAGAAATTTTAACTATATTGCCTTGAATTGGTGTAAGAGTTGAAGTGCGATTCATTTCTGCTCATAAATTTGCCAGGTCAAGTGAATTTTTCATCTGTTACAGTAATTGGCCACAATGCAAAAGGAGGTAGAGAGTGTGTGTTTTGAGGTTGGGGGGGGTGAAAAAGGTGTGTATCCAGTATCTCTAGCAGCTATGTTAGGGGGAGAGTACAGGGATTGCATTTCATTCTAATTACAGTGCCTTTCCATGGTGAACAAATAGGCTCTTTTATATGCATCTTTCAAATAAGCCTCCAAATTATTTGAATCAGCTTGCTGAAAGGTCACACAATGCAGAGAAGTTAGTCATCCAAAAGATGTTGCATGCTTACAGTAGGGGTGTGTACTGTTGCTTCCCGTCTCACGCGATTTGATCTGTATCTCGACACGTGGGCCACGATTCGGAAAAAACGACACAGCTGAACTCGTAATTATACGGTGCAAACCAGAGTTATTTTGATTCAGTTCAGATGATATTCTGTTTTAATTTAGCTTCAGTTTGACAAATTATACATTAAGTGTATGTATTTAAGCAAGACTGTTAAAAAAGAAAACAAAAAAACCAGTGTTCCTTCAAAGCAGTTCTGAATTTCAAGCAGTAAAAATTATATTCATAAAGCAGGATGTTGACTTTTCAACAGCAGTAAACAACGGGCACTGGTGCACAGCAGACCTTTGTACTGCATCCACCTGCTGCTTCACCTTATCAGACAGCGCTGGGATGCACTTTTCACTGAAATGCTGCAGACTTGTTATTGTGCACCACAGTTCCAGACTCAGTAACGTTAATCTAAATCCCACATTTTCAACAACAACAAGTGCATGTTCTTGCAAATGAAACTGCTTTAGTTATTGACTTTGATCAGGTAGCACTATTAGCTAATATGCTCTGAAAGTAACTGCGAACACTGGCACTGTTACCTGCCTGAAGCTAATTGCTAAATACAACTACATTTAAATCCTTGGATTGCGAGTAACCCGGTCTATGAGTGTTTTGCAAGGCGAGCAAAAATTTTAATTTCATAAACGAGCGAGGTCTTGCAATACGAGTAGTACGTACGCTTTGTCTGCCGAGCGTCACGTCACAACTGAGCCGATGGTTCTCGCGCCTCACTCGTATAGTCAACGTCTGTACTGCAACAATGGCCCCGATTCTTTTCAAAGGTAAAATGCAGGTTAATTTATTTTATTTTTACTTTATATTGTATTACTGTAATCATTTTTATATGGAAAAATGGGTGTGAGTTTCCATTATTTCTTATGGGGAAATTCGCTTTGATATACGAGTGCTTTGGATTGCGAGCACGTTGCCGGAATGAATTATACTCGCAATCTAAGGTTTTACTGTACCTGTAACAGTTTTATTTGTTTTATTTTTTTACCTCAGATTCAACACCGTACTGTCTTTGTAGATGGATGCCTGTCCTCATGGTGTTCTGGACATATGATGCACATTTTGCACATTGTAGTTGTTTTATCAAGAATCACTTAATTGGCATTCTGCTAACCGGTGCATTTAACACATATTTTTACCTTGGGGGAACGTTTTCCTTCAGGACCTGGATCACTAGAAGCAGGCATACGATTGGACGCCAACAGGAAATGATGCAGCAAACATATGCACACACATGCATACTAGAACCTGGAGCTCAAAGAGAAGAAACTTGCCAGATATTGTTTTTGAAATCCGTATTGAATTTAGACTTTTTAACAGAATTTGGTTCAAATCTGTGGTTTTCAACCACTGCAGCCATATCTCTGGCTGTGTATTGCTTTTCCAATACATATTTGTTCATCTTTACATCCCATCTTACAAGTTTCACAGAACTGAAGTATTACTCCTTTAATAAGCTGTCACAGTACCTTTGCAAAAAGCTAAACTTTCACTAGAGTCAGTTTTGATTTGAAAACAGGCCATACCCTTTAAAAATGCTGGCACAGGAAATATTCAGTTTTAATGACAACAGAGACAGAAGGACCCAGAGGCACTCTGAAACATCAGAGAATCTTTTAAATTTACAGAAAAAATATAAACGAGTGGCACAAACCTAATTAGGTGCTGCAGTCATGACTAATGAAGCAGCTTGTTTTTTGGCACTAAGATGATGGAGAAACAGTGGTGCTGAAGAGAAATATGCCACAACTTCTCACAGCTAAAAAATGCTCATGAAATATATTCAGCGTGAACAATCACTTGCTGGAATCTTTTAGAATTATACACAGTTCTTTTATTAAAACTCACCTTAAAGCTATTGTAAAGGTTTACTGGAGTGATTAGATTTTTAGACTGCTGAGGTGGGTCTCAGGGCTGACACAGCAGGTCCATTTATCTTAAACTACCTTGACTTAAGGTTGAACATGGATCAGCTATGCCCAGGGGCCTGGCCGCCAAGGCCCGTACTCTCACTGAGTGGTTGTTACTTCAAGTTGTGTTGTTTTCAATTTACCTGTGATGACTCCCAGTTTTACTGGCGCTTTGGCCTGTGCTCAGAACACCTGCTTGTAGTCAGTCAAATTTATAAAAGCTGCCTTTATAAAGTTACACTTTTAAGTTAACACTTTAAATGAACATTTGGGTGTAGTTCTCATTTGTCTAATTTCTTATTTTCCTGATAACAGTGATGCAAGAACATTATGCAGTTTTTCTAAGGCACGTTTTTAAGTCATACACTGTTTTAACTAGAGACGAGCTTATTGTGGTATTTGTGGAAGTCAAACTTGATTGACTTTAACAGTTTCATGAAAGGGACAGACCATCAGGGTTTTTTTGTTTGTTTGTTTGATTTGTTTTATTTTTGTTTTTGTTTTTTCATTTAGGTTTAATAATGTTTCAGATGCAGTATCCATTTAGTGTAGGCTTTATTACCACAAGGCACAGGGAGACCGATATTACTAACAGATGTTAATACAAACCTGTCTTGTGCACTGGCGCTAACACTTGAGGTTTATTCGCAAAACTAATGCCAGCTTCACTGTGACATCATAATTCTTTGTATCCGGGTAACGTTGTATTTTAATGCAGAGCCAGACAGGCTAGACATCATCCTGTGTGACCATACTGTATCATTGTTAATGAGCACTATAAAGACACATACAATGTTTGTGCTTAGTAAAGTGTAATTCATGCTTTGTGCATGCTCTCGTGCATGTGGACCCGGACAAGGGCTGCACACATGTTCCTGTTCACATGTCAAATTGAAGGTCTGCCTTCTGTTTGTGTACACCACTAGTTTCCAAGCACCATGGCACAGGCGCAGTCAGTGCTTTTGCTGTGT